TCGCTTAGGAAGGGCCCATGCGGTGCAATCTATGCGAGGCGGCGACGGCGACGACGGGGCGGCGACGGCGAGCACGGAGCCGCCACACCGCCAGGCCCAGACGAAGGGCGGCGGCGACGGGGCGGCGACGGCGAGCACGGACCGCCAGACCGCCAGCCAGGGCCAGCCCCCTAGAACCCCCACGTGCAAGCATTGTTTGAGGAAGTGCTGTTTAATCGTTTCACTCACTACACCAGCCCATGTCGCATCACCGTAGGTGTGTGGTGGTGTGCTCGTGCCCATGGGGAGCGGCAGGTCAGGCAGGAAAGTCCTGAAGGTGATTGGTGGAGATGCAGTTGTAAAGACCGTCCGAGAAGATGAGGAGGAGGAGGGCCATTGTAACCCCAAGAGTCATCAATCATGTTGGGGTAAACCCTCCTCCCAAACTCCCTCTTCATAGGCCCCCACAACGGTTCCTTTCCACTGAGGGGGTTGCCTCGCTGGAAGACAACAGCTTGAAGATTCTGAAGCATGCCAATACATTGCTGTTTGGATGTCAACGCCACGGGTCAACCTGATTGCTGCGTCTTGACGATCCTGAATCGCGCCAGAACGCCATTCCTGCGATTTCAGCACAGCGAACCAACGTAACTGATACACCCTCATAATCCTGAACCCGTCCAAAGCACCATGTCTGGTACGCTGATCATGAGAATCCGTGAAACTAGTGCACACATCTTGCAAATGTTAACGAATGTGCGCGGCGCTAATGCGAGAGCAATATGTTGAAAAGGAACCGCCCCCAACCCGTGAAATTCTTGTAAGTTGTTCAAATGTGCGCGACGCTAAGGCGAGAGCCACATTCCCGCCCTCAATGCGTGAAACTCTTACCATTTGGTTAAACGAATGCGCGCGGCGCTAAGGCGAGAGCCACATTTTGAAAAATCACCCGCCCTCCAGCCACGAAATTCTTGCAAACTTTAATGAAGAGAGAGAGAGAGAGAGAGACTTATAGAATAACAAACATTTTGAAACCCGCCCTCCATCCGTGAAGCTATTGCAAATGTGTAAAACGAATGTGCGCGGCGCTAAGGTGAGAGCCACGTTTTGAAAACGTCCCGCTCTCCATCTGTGAAACGGCTGTCATTTGTTAAGCTTCAGAGTCATAAATGGTGAGGAAGTCTTAGGCGAAACGCCCAGCTCGCCCTAAAAATTGGCCTCGGGGTGCGACAGGGAGAAGTAGTTGTTTATGAGGAAAAGGAATGGAGGAAGAGGAGGAAGACGAGGAGGAGGAGGAGGAGGACGAGGATGAGGACAAGATGCAGACGAGGAGGTCGGTCGGTCTGTCGGTCGAGGACCTCGGGTGACTCAGTCAGTTGAGCTCTGTCTGGGGGTTTAGGCATCAAACTTAGCCAGCAGCCCAGTGGATGGCCACTTTAAAGAATCAGCCCAAGGAAAATGGAGGAGGAGAAGGAGGAGGAGGAGGAGGGGGAGGAGGAGGAGGAGGAGGAGAGGGAGGAGCAGGGGGTCTCTCGACAGCTTCTCGGGGCAGGCATGGGACCAGACCAGATCGTGAACAAGACGTCTCTTTGGGAGGCTTCTGGAGATGTCTTGAGAGGTCTCTCGGGGACCTCGTGGTTGCAATTGTCTGACCTCCTGGGGCCTCTCGAAGCAGCTGTTTGGACTTCGACCTCCGGGTCTTCTCGAGGGCTTCCTTCAGGCCTGCCAGCTGTCTGCAGGGCCATTTGATGGAAAGTTTAGTATCTCAATTCCACCAGAAATGCTTGCATTTACGGTGCCGTTTTTAATACATGCTCCGCGTGCGGATCATGTATTAAAAATGCAGGGATTTTGTATTAAAAACAACGATGCGCTCATGCATAAATTCACTCATACATTAATCATGCATTACACATCCTATATGTTTTAGAAAAAATCCTATGTATTAAAAACTGTCCTGTAGGGGTTATTTTTCTGCTGAGGAACTGGGCCCGGTCGTCGGTCCGGCTGGCTCGTGGCCGCCCGTGGCCGCCCGTCGCCGTCGTCTCTGGTCACGGCTCTGACTGTGCGAGGCTCACACTTTGCATTGCTGCGTACAGTCGGGGCGCTGAAGAAGGAATCCTTTTCGTTGGGGAGGGGCTCGGTGTTCCTTGATTGTTCTGCAGTTTGCCTTCAGTTTTCCTTAGGTTTTCCATGGGAAATCGAAGTTCAACGTATGGGAAAAAGGGGCCCCGTTCCTTATTTAAGGTTCCTTAGGTCAACGCCCCGACTGTATTGCTTTGCATCGCTTTGCATTACGGTGTATTGGCTCACATGTGTTGGCATCGGCGTTGCATTGCTATTCGTCGATCCACGTTCTCTTGCATTGCGTTGCAGTTCTTGGCGCTGCGTTGGGTTGCTTTTTGCATTGCGTTGCGCTGCTTTGCGCTGCTCTTCATTGACGTATGGTGTGTTGCATTGCTTTGATTTGCGTTGCATTCCGTTGCATTGCTTTGCACCTCATGGATTGCACCACATTGACTGCACCACCTGATTGCACTACCACGCTGGCTAGCATCACCACTATTGTTGATTATCATTAGTTTCATTATTCGTCTTATTGTTTTTGTATTTGACTACGCTCTCTGCCCCCCCTTCTTCCGCGCAAATGCCTCGGACCACGATGCTTACCCCCCCTCTCTTCCTGGCCCACCCTCTTCGACGCACCCGACTTGCATGAAACAGGACGCCGGCGCACCCGAGAAAGTTGCAGCCGTGCCCTGCCCCCTCGCGCTGCAGAACGACCACGACGGCGTCGGCCCCCCGGGGGAAGCCTTGCCAGGCCCTGGGACCGTCGAAGCACCGCTCGGGACGACGAGCTGGCCCCGGGGCGGAGCCCACAGCGGGCCACGCTGCGGCGCAAAGGTCACGACGCAGGCTGCCCCCGGGCGGGTCGGCAGCAGGCTCCACGCTCTGCTTCCTCCCTCCGTCTCTTGCAGGGCTCTGGCCCGGCCGGATCCCAGCCCGGGGGGCGGCGCGCGGCTTCGAAGGCCCTTCCCTTCGTTCCGCCTTCGAGTAGGAGTAGGAGATCAAATGCAGAATTGACTTACCCCAGAATTTATTTGTTGTTCGTCGAGTCGCCGAGAGGCTGCGTAGCAGTCCACGAACGTTCTACTGTTTCCCTTCTGGACGCGACGAAAAATCAGTTTCGGGGTAAGTCGGTTCTGCGGTTGATCCCCCTACTCGACGCCCAGGCGCCGCATGCGTTGCACACCAGGTGTGCTCGGCCAGCTTCGGGGCGTGGGGCCCGCACGGAGCGAATCGGCTCGAGGGGTGCGGCAGGGAGGCGCGGTCTGGGGCTCAATAGGAGGGTTTGCGTGGAGCCTCCTCCAACCGCCCTGGCCCTGACCAGTCGCCCCCCCCCCCCGCCCTCGCCCTCTTCCCAGGCGCCCCAGGATCCTGCCAAGGCGGCCCAAGCCAGGGCACCAGGAACCAGGACGCTGCAGACCAGGACTTTTTGCAAGAGCCGCCGGGAGAAGAATGGGGAAAACGGAGAGAGAATGTTTCGACACGCCGCTGCGGCTCTCTCCAGTGCGCCATCGCCCTGGGTCCCCAGAAGGCCCCACCAGGGAGCCCTGGGAAATCCGCAGGGTGCAACTGAGGGGGGCAACTCCTCCCTCCTCCTTCTCCTCCTTCTCCTCCTCCCTCCCTCCCTGTTCCCTCCTCCCTCCTCCCTCCCTCCCTCCTCCTCCCTCCCTCCTCCCTCCCTCCTCCTCCTCCCTCCCTCCCTCCCTCCTCCTCCCTCCCTCCTCCCTCCCTCCTCCCTCCTCCTCCTCCCTCCCTCCTCCCTCCCTCCCTCCTCCTCCCTCCTCCCTCCCTCCCTCCTCCCTCCCTCCTCCTCCCTCCCTCCTCCCTCCCTCCTTCTCCTCCTCCTCCTCCCTCCTCCCTGGCCCACTCGTCGCCGATCGGGGCCTGGGCCCCCGAACCCTGCCCAGGGACGTGCGGTGCCGCGATCGAGCAGGCCCATCGCCGATCTCTCGGCGACGCACCGCCCGTTCCAAGCCAGTGCTCCGCAGGGACACGAGGGCCTCCTCCTCCTCCTCCTCCTCCTCCTCCATCCTCCTCCTCCTCCTCCTCCTCCTCCTCCTCCTCCTCCTCCTCCTCCTCCTCCTCCTCCTCCTCCTCCTCCTCCTCCTCCTCCTCCTCCCTCCTCCTCCCCCTCCCCTCCTCCTCCTCCTCCTCCTCCTCCTCCTCCTCCTCCTCCTCCTCCTCCTCCTCCTCCTCCTCCCCCTCCCCCTCCCCCTCCTCCTCCTCGTGCCCGCTGCCCCGGCGCCCCCGCGCCGCTCCCGGCCACTGCCCCGTGAGGGGTTGGCCGCCTCGCCTTTCGCGCGTCCCTTTCTTCGCTGTTATTTCGGCTGCTGCGCGCTCGGCCGCCGGCCGCTGCTCTTGGAAGGCCCTCGTGTCCACTCCCCCCTGTCACCAGCCTTACGTACGAACAAGGACATAGACATAACAACTCGGAGGTCCGCGCGGGTTTCTCGGATCGGCGCCGGAGGCGCCGACGGGGGGGTCCAGCGCGGGTACGAGAAATCCGCGCGAACCTCCGAGTCTTTATGTTTATGTCATTCTTCGTTCCCCTACTCGTGCCCCCTCCCCCCTGTCGGCAGCCGCGGCAGCGCCGGCGCGGGCGCGGATTTCGCGGATCGGCGCCGGACCCCCCTCCCTGGCGCGCAGAGCGCGCCAGGGGCGGCGCCGGAGGCGCCGCCGGATCCACGCGAACCTCCGAGTCTTTATGTTTATGGCAATATTTGTTCCCCGACTCTCAGGAGGGAACAAACACACAGACACAATTAATCGTCGATCCCCCAGGAAATATGGGAAAATATGGGAAGTGGGGGGGAAGACAAAAACCCAGAAAATATGGGAAAATATAAGGAATATGTTTTATTTGTGTGTATTTATTTGTGTGTCCTGGGGCCCATTCAGACTCGTGCCCCCTCCCCCCTGTCGCCAGCCGCGGCCGCGCCGGAGCGGCGGCGAAGGAGCGGTGGACTGCTGCGCCTTCGCGCTGGTCGCGGCGGTGCCCGGGGCCGAGCGCGTGCCCTTCGACGCGGCTCTGGTGGAGGGCGTGCCGGAGGTGGCGCTGGCTGTACGGAGCCGCGGCGTGGAGGAGGAGAAGGAGGAGGAGGAGGAGGAGGAGCAGGAGCAGGAGCAGGACCAGGAGGAGGAGGAGGAGGAGGAGGAGGAGGAGGAGGAGGAGGGGAGGACGAGGGGAGGAGGACGAGAGGAGGAGGAGGAGGAGGAGGGAGGAAGAGGGAGGAGAGGAGAGGAGGAGGAGGAGGAGAAGAAGAGAAGAGGGAGAGGAGGAGATGGAGGAGGAGGAGGAGGAGGAGGAGGAGTGGCGCGGTGTCTCTTGCGCTGCCGCGGTGAGCCTGCCTCGCTTCTGGCGGGGAAGCCGGAAGTCCTCCTGCGTGTGCCGTGCCAGGTCGGAGGCCATGCTGGGGGGCTGCCTGGAGTCTGGAGCCCTCTCGTCGCCATCTTGGGCGCCCTGATCGCCCCCGTTCGGGGGAGGGGTCCAGACTCAGGGGAGTGGCACCACTCCACACAACGGGCCTCCACCACTCCACTTGCCCCTCGGCCACACCGCCGGCGTGCCTCGCCCCCCGTATTGGCCTCGGCAGGACAAGACAACGCGAGGCGGTCTCCAAGATAGCCACAAAGACGCCGCGCAATGGTCCAAGGTGGCCACGGAGCCTCCCCAGGGTGGCACCGAGAAATCAAAACCTTCAAATACGAAATCTGTTTTCAATGATTTTGGCATGATCGTTGTCCAGAGTCCGATCTGCCTTGAAGGCTTCGACTTGTCATCGAGAGAGGCCCCAGAAGGGCCCAAGACGGGCCCAGAGGTCCTTCACCAGGATTCCAAAATCGCCCCAAGAGGGCCCCAGGAGAATTCAGGGCTCGAGCTAAACGGTGTTTGGGCGATTTCGTGGACCGTTTTCGTTTTGTGATCTGAAGCCAACCCGAAGGGAAGCGAAAACAAACGAAAACGACAAGCACTGTTTAGTTCGAGCCCCAGGAGAGTTCTGAACCGCGAAAGTGCCCACTGGACCGCGTGCATTTGACGCCACGTTGGTCGCAGGACGGCCCTCTAGAAGGGCTCCTCAAGCTCCAAGAGGCTCTAACAGAGCCCAAGCGAGCCCCCAAAGGGGGGCCAACAGAGCCCAAACAGGGGCCTGAGAGCACCCCCAACCCCCAAAGGAGTTTCGAATGCAGCGCCGATCTGAGGAATCCGCGCGGACCTCCGAGTTTTTTATGTATATGTCATCGATTCTCCTTTCTAAGAAGAGAGTAGACTCTACCCCCCCCGGCGTTATCCGCTCCCTTTTCGGGTATGTAAATCATGTATGATTCTGACCACATGTCCATCCTAAATATGAATTTGCACTATCCCAGGGGGCCGGTATCGCTCCCCCTAAGGTTCCCTTGTAAAAAACAATACGCGGGGACACGCTTTGTTCTAACATAAGACTTGTTCACGAGTCCCTTGCAAAAAATGAAACGAAGTGCACACGTGCGCGTCGTCGCGCGCGCATGCCGAAATTCTTCAAAAACTTGCGGTGTCGGAAGGATTTCGCAATCGAGTTTCCAAAAAACATACAAAACACACAGGGTTTCGCAACACTGATTTGCTAAAAAAGCTTACGCGCGAGCTCTTGCGACATCTTCAGAAAACCACAGGTTTTCAAGATTTTCACAAAATGCTACCAAACGGGCTTCGCGCGTGCGCATGTCGACATCTGTCGAACGCCCTTGCGCGTGTGCCGTCGCGAGAATCCCCTGCACAAAATGGGACGAAGTGCAGACGCGCGCGTCGTCGCGCGCGTATGCCGAAACCCTTCAAAACCCATCGGTTTCGGAAGGATTTCAAAATCGTCTGTCCAAAAAATGTATATAAAAAACACAAGGTTTCGCAACACGGATTTTCAACAAAAGCGTGCGCGCGCGCTCTTGCGTCGTCGTCGTCGTCGCCGTCCTCCCTCCTCCCGCGTCGTCGTCGTTGTCGTCGCCTACGTCGTCCTCTGTCGTTCCTCGTGTTCGTCGTCGTCGTCGTCCTCTTTGGCGTCGTGGTCGTTTCCGTCGTCGTTGTCGCCGTGGTCGTCCTTCCTCCTCCTCCTCCCTCGTCGTCGTCGTCGTCCGTCGTCGGCGTCTCGTCGTCGTCCCTCCTATTTCGTCGCCGTTGTCGTCGTCGTCGTCGTTGTCGTCGTCGTCGTTTTCCCTCCTCCCTCGTCGTTGTCGTCGTCGGCGTCGCCGTCCTTCCTTCTTCGTCGTTCGCGTCGTCGCCGTCCTCCCTACTCCCTCGTCGTTGTCGTCGTTGTCGTCGTTGTCGCCGTCGTCGTCCTCCCTCCTCCCTCCTCGTCGTCTTCGTTGGCGACGACGTTGTCGTCTTCGTCGTCGTCGTCTTCGCCGTCGTCGTCGGCGTCGTCGTCGTCTTCGTCGTCGTCGACGTCGGCGTCGTCCTCGTCGCCGCCGTCGTCGTCGTCGGCGTCGTTGACGTCGTCGTCGTCGTCGGCGTCGTCGTTGTCGTCGTCGTCGGCGTCGTCATCGTCGTCGTCGTTGTCATCGTCGTCGTCGTCGTCGGCGTCGGCGCCGTCGTCGTCGTCGTCGTCGTTGTCGGCGTCGTCGAAGTCGTTGGAGACGTCGTCGGTGTCGTCGTAGTCGTTGTCGGCGGCGTCGTCGTCGTCGTTGTCGCTATCGTCGTCGGCGTCGCTGTCGTTGCCAAGTGCCATTTGGTACTCACCGTCACGGTCTTAAGAGATTTTGCAAACCAAGTTGCGGGTGGGTGGGTGGGATGTTTGCGCGAGCAGTGGAGTGGACAACTCACTGCGAACAGAAAGTATTTCCTCCCTTGGAAACCAGCTGAGCCCAGAGGGCTGATGGGACTGCCTCACACCATTTGGACCAGCATTGCCGCTGCGTCTTCGGTGACCCCTCCACCAGCGGAGCGAGATCGTCAACCTCAAGGACCGCACAATGTGGAGGAGATGGCACGGCCACCACCGTGGAAGGGGTCACGTTTGCACCGCCTGGGCGCCGAGGTAAAGTTATCGGGAAAATGGAAAGAATGGCTGGGGCCAACCCATCCACTCTTTCCAGCCCTGGACACTTCCTAGTTCATGGGATCGCCAACTTCACCTTTCCATGGCTTTACTGCACTCGCTTTGCCAATAGCAGTTCATAGTGTTCTGAGCGTGTCTCTTCTTGTCCCTTCTCCTCCTCCTCCGCGGCCGCTCTTCTGTCACTCCCGCTGCACAGGCGCACGATTCGCCAGTCCGCGGCCCACTCCAGCCCGAACGCGGCGCGTGACAACCGTCGCTGCGACGAAAGAGCTTGTCGGTTGCATCCCAGCGCCGATGCCAGCGCGCGGGGTGAGCCACGTCGCTCCGAAACAGAAACGCGTGTCGATTGCATCCCGGCGACAACGCCAGCGTTCAAAGTCCCAAGCTTGGCAGCATTCTCAGACTGGTGCAGCCGCTTCTCCTCGCAGCGTTCTGGGTCGGGCGGGCTTCAAGTGCCGTGCTTATAGCGCTTCGCCATGATACGATTAAGTCGGGCGCCCCCCCAAGTCTCGCAGCCAACTCCAAGTTAGGAGGAGGAGGAGGAGGAGGAGGAGGAGGAGGAGGAATAGGAGGAGGAGAAGGAGGAGGAGGAAGAGGAGGGAGGCAGAGGAATAGGAGGAGGAGGAGGGGGAGGAGGAGGAGGAAAGAGGAGGAGGAGAAGGAGGATGGGATTTATGGAGGCAGGACTGTATTGGAGGAGGAGTAGGAGGAGGGAGGATGCAGCCCTCCCGCCGCTTGGCCGCCCTCTCCGAGCGGGGCCCCGCGCGCGCGCCCCTGCGGCGGAGCCCCCGCGCGCCCCCCCCGCCCCCGGCGCGCAGCGGGGCGGCGCGCCCAATGGGGGCCCAGACCCCCCAACGGTCGTTTTTGTCGCCCTCCTCCTGCTCCTCCTCCTCCTCCTCCTCCTCCTCCTCCTCCTCCTCCTCTCCCTCCTCCTCCTCCTCCCTCCCCTCCTCCTCCTCCTCCTCCTCCTCCCTCCTCCTCCTCCTCCTCCTCCTCCTCCTCCTCCTCCTCCTCCTCCTCCTCCTGCAGCAGGCCTCCCAAGGTCGTTTTTTGTCGCCGTCGTCGGCCCGGGGAGGCATCCAGAAGTCGAGCGGTGACATTTAGTTTGTCGATGCCGCTAGGAGCTCCCCGACCTGTGTAAATTGCTCCGATTGGAGCTGTAGGTTGCGCAGTCATGCGGCTCCGCTCTGGACAACAAAACAGAAAAAAATAAAAACAAACAAAAAAAAGGTCGAGCGGTGACAGGTGTGCCCTGGCTTGGCGACAGGCCCACCAGAGAGTGCTCTGAGAGCCTCCCGCTGTGCGCAGGAGCTGCTCTCGGAGCCTCTCTGGCCGAGGCTGTCCTGCTGTCGTTTACGCAGCGGCCTCATGTTCGGAGGACCTTGCTTCTGTGATGAGAACACTCGTTCGATCTCAGAAAATTTCGTGGTAGGCCTATAGGAATGCTGGGAGGGGCGGTCCCTGCTCAACATGGACGCCTCAGGATGGGCCTGGGGAAACTGGATCTCTGGGGGGTCCCGCTTAGAAGAATCTAGACATTGGATCTCTGGGGATGTTGTGTGGGGGGAGGAGGAGGGGGGGGCGGGCTTCTAAGAAGGTCGACTTTTCAGAAGCCCTCCCCCCCCCAGCTTCTGAGGGGCCTTCCTGGAAACCCCTGGGCCCTTTCCAAGAAGGCCTGTGCCTGCTCAGAAAGCCCCCACCTTCTTAGAAGGCCCACTCTAGATACCCAATGTTTTGATTTTTTCCAATACTGGTTCTCCAGAAGTGCCAACCCCTTCCCCAGGGCCGGGCTTCCATCCTGAGCAGGTTTTTGACCGCCCCAGGGCCCAGCGAGGACCCCCAGAGGCCGAACACGGCGAAAAAGCACGCTGTTTGTTTTGACACGTTGGAGTCCTGGATTTCGGGCCATAGCTTTGGCGTTTGGCGACTGTTCGGGACGATGCGGGCACCCTCGGAACGCTCCCAGCGAGCCGCAGCTGCTGGCAAGGATCCCGAGGCGAAAAAAACAGTGTAAAACCAACGAATACCATCGGAAGCCTCCCTCGCAGACATGCGATGTCTTGATTTGTGTCAGAACGTGGCTCCTGGAAGTCCCGACTCTTTCCCTGGGACCGGTTTTGCACCCTGAGTCATTTTTTGACTGTCCCGGGGCCTGGCGAGGGCACCCAGAGGCCGAAAAGTACGAATAATTTCGCCCCGAAGTTGTGAAGGCACGAGCATGTCGGGGACGGCATGAACATAATTTCTCGGAGGCCCGCGCGAAGTTCTTGGATCGGCGCTGGGCCCCCACGGCGGCGCCTCCGGCGCGGGCACTGGCGCGCTCCGCGCGCCGGCACCGGTCCAAGACATCCGCGCGGACCGCCGAGGAGTTATTCAGGAGGAAAAGAAACACACAGACACAATTAATCCTCGATCCCCCAGAAAATATGGGAAAATATGGGAAGTGGGGGGGAAGACAGGAACCTAGAAAACATGGGGAAATATGGGGAATATCTTTATTTATGTGTATTTATTTGTGTGTCCTGGGGCCCCTTCAGTTATGTCTTCCCCGTGTCTTGCTCCCCTCGGGCCGGACGAAAGGGGGGGATTGGGAGAGGGGGGGGTCCGAAATCTGCTGCATGCAGCTGGTTTCGGCCCCGCCGAGGGGCCCATTCCTCGATACCCAGCCGCCCCCGGCGCCGGGAGGCGCGCCGGGAAAATCAGCCACGCGAGCCGACTCTCAAACCCCCTCTCTGCTATCCCCCCCTGTCGCCCAGCCCGATCGTCTAGGGGCACCGGTCCCCGACCCCCTCGAGTCATGAAGAGCCCACGGCGGAACACGTTGGAGGGATTTACCAGCCTGGAACATATCCCTATCCCTATGCTGGGCACCTCCTCATCACGATGCCAATCTCAGGGAGTCCCTTATTCTGTGAGGGCGAACCCCTAAGATTGTCATCGCCTCTTGGCGTGTCAATCTCAGGGATAGGGATACGTTCGAGGCTGGTAATTAAGGGATGGGCCCCTGCGGCGCGCGCCGCCGCAGAGGCCGGGCTCCGCCGCCGCGTGCCGTGCGCACTCGGCGCCGAGCGCGGGGCCGCGCCCGCCATGCCGCTGTGGCTCGGCGCGGGGCCTCGGCTGCCCGTGGCCCGCGCGGCGCAGCTGTCCTTCGTGGACGACAAGGCCGCGGCCTCGGGGAAGCCTGCAGTCGGACCGAGGCACTCGGGTTCGAGGTTTCCGGGTTCGAGGTCCGAGGTAGTCGAGGTATTCGAGGTTCGAGGTCGAGGTTCGAGGTCGAGGTACAAGGTCGGGGTCGGAGGTGCGAGGTCCGAGGCATATCGGGGGGGTGGACAGACCTCCGACCCTGGCACGTCGATTCAGGAATTGGCCGTGTTCGGTTCGCGAGGGGGCGTCGCGGCCGCCGTTCTTGCGGGTCCAGGACCGTCGGTTTCGGTCCCGGGCCGTTTTCACTAAAGGGAGGTTTGTCCAAAGCCGAAGGTATTCGGGTTCGAGGTTTTCGGGCGTTTGCGTCCGTTGTCCAGCCTCGGGATGCGTTGCGGCAGCTGTGCGCCTCGCCTAGAGAGCGTTGCGGGGCTGCCCGGATCGTCCCGGACGGCCGCCGGAGGCCCGAGTGTCGATGCGAAGACAAAGTTCGGCGGCGGACCGAGGTACAAGATCGGGGTCGGTTCGGGGTGGGTGCCTTATTGTGTTTCGTGCTTGCTGGATCAGAAGAAGAAGAAACACCATAAACATAAACTGTTGGCGCTTCGCGCGGATTTCTTGGATCCGCGTAGATGTTTATGGCGTTATTATTCTTCTTCTGTTACTAATGTCTTCGTGCTTGTTGGATGTTCTTGTGCATGCTGGAGAGGGTACCATTGGATGTTCTGTGTGTTTGGGCTAGCGGAGAGTCTCATGTTCTTGAGGGATGTACTTCTGGCCTAGGTCCCACTGTAATACGTCGTCGTCGTCGTCGCCGTTGTCGTCGTCGGCGACGGCGTTTGCGTCGTCGTCGTCGTCGCTGTCAGTGTCGGCGTCGTCGCCGTCGTCGTCGTCGCCGTCGCCGTCGTAATCGGTCGTCGTCGTCGGCGTCGTCGCCGTCGCCGTCGTCGTCGTCGTCGCCGCCGTCATCGGTCGTCTACCGCCGACTCGAGTTCGCGGGAACCTGGATTTGCCGACGTTTATTGGCGAGCCAGTTTTGAATCTGACGGTCTTGTGTCCGTGGGACGTTTGCAGTGGGAGCTCGCGTCAGACTTCAGACTGGGTCCCGTCGGGGCCAATCCGACTCCCCCGAAACCGAGTCCTGCGTCTCCCAGACCGCCCCCGGGGGAGCTCCGGAGCGGGCAACGAGATCGATGCGGGCGTCTGCCAAGCATCGTGTTGGAGACGTGGTGGTCGGCCCCGCTGGAGGAGGAGGAGGAGGAGGGAGGAGGAGGAGGAGGAGGAGGGAGGAGGAGGAGGAGGAGGGAACGCGCCGATTTGGGCCAGATCTGGGGGCCCAGAAGGGGCCCCCAAGCCCTGGCGCGGCCCGCTCTGCGGCCCCGTGCGCAGCGCCGACGTCGAGAGGTTGCGGTGCCGTTTTTTATGCACGCTCCGCGTGCGGATCATGTATGAGAAATGCAGGGAGTCAGTATTAAAACCAACGAGGAGCTCGTGCATAGATTTATTCATGCATTAATCATGTACTAAAATCCTATATGGTTTAAACTCGTATGTGTTAAAAACTGCCCTGTAGGCCCGCGAGCGCGCGCACATGTCCACCACCCCTGGCCCAGGGCCCAGGAGCGGTGCGCAGTGAGGGCCCATGCCAAGAAGCACCCTGCCTGCTTCCAGGGTGCCCCGGGTTGCTTGGGTTTTCGATGGTTCTGCGATGGAGAGCGCGACGCTCCCGCACCAAAAATCCAAGGGCGTCCTGGGGTCTCAGGGTTGGGTTTCTTGTGGAAGGTGTCTCGTGGACTGGCCTCCACTGAATGCGCCCCCCCTGGCTTGGCCAGGGAGGAGCCTGCACCAGCCTTGGGCCCAGGAGGTCGCGCGCGCGGGTTCCCCATGCTGCTCCTCCTCCTCCTCCTCCTCCTCCTCCTCCTCCTCCTCCTCCGCCTCCTCCTCCTCCTCCGCCTCCTCCTCCTCCTCCTCCTCCTCCTCCTCCTCCTCCTCCTCCTCCTCCTCCTCCTCCTCCTCCTCCGTCCTCCTCCTCCTCCTGCTTCTCTTCCCTGTCTTGCTTTCCCTCTGCTGTAGCTCTCTTGTCTCTTTTCCTGCTGGCCCTGGGCCTGGCCGGGGGCGGGTGCCAGGGGCCGCGGGCACGTCCAGATCTCGCGAAGCGGGCGGCGGAGCGCTCGGCTGGGCTCGGCGGCGCGCAGAACGGCGTGGGGCAGCCCAGACATCCCCATGAGACCCAGGCGCCCCCAAAAAACTATCGCAGCGGCTGGTTCTTCAAGGTTTCCGGCCTCGGGGTGTCACCAGCCCCGTGGCGGTCAGAAGAAGCGACCAGGGATGCAATGCCGGTCCCCAGGAGGAGGTCGAGATCTTCGGGGGCCCCGCGTCGCGAACAAGAAAGGGCCGTCGGGGGCGCTAGAGTCGGGGAAGCAAGCCATGTCCGGCCAGGCTTGCAGATCTGCGGGTTTCCTCCTCCGCCGCCCCCTTAATGCGCTGTGCGCCGAGCAAGCCAGCCCCGGCCCGAAGGTGAACGACGGCATGGCTGCCCTGAAAGAGGCCAAGGAGCTGGCCGCGCTGCAGTCCAAGACCCTGAAGGCCTGGGGGCGCCAACTCTCCGCTGCACGTGGGATGACGATTGCGAAAAAAAACAGGTGGTGATTAAACATACGAGCCAGCGCAGATTCCAAATAGATCAGAATATTGACATGAAGTGGACTGGAGTAGACTGGACTGGAGTAGACTGGACTGGACTGGGGTGGACTATACTCCACTCCTACTCTACGCTGTTATATTCTACCCTGACTCTAATCTACCATCTACTCTACTCTGCTCTACCCTACTCTACCCGAACCTACTGTGCCATACTCTATTCCTACTCCACTCCACTCTGCTCTACACTCGTGCTACTCTATTCTACTCGATTAGACTCAAGAGGCTTATGCCGACTCAAGCATGGGCAGCGCGAGAAGATAATGGAGACACGTTCGAGTCTCTTGGGATGCATCTCAGCAACCTATTGGAGCGGGTGTCTAGGCATCTGGGAGCCTTTGGGGCCTCTTGGGGGCCTCTGGGGAGCCTCTTGGGAGGCTCGTGGGGCTTCGTAGGGGCGGCTAGAGAGGCCTCTCGGAGGTTCTTGGAGCCATCTTGGGGGGAAAGGCTCGAAATGTCAGTTCGGATTCAGTGTCATGGGCCTCTCTCTTAGGGGGTCTCTTGGGCCGGCTTGCGGGCCCCTGGGGCCCTCTTAAGCCGTCTTGGGGCGAATTTGGGACGATGTTGAGAGCCCCTTGGGCCATCATCGACGCTCTCAAGACGCCAAAGGCAAACATGCTGAACGTGTACGTTTTCTTATTGGAATTGGACGACGTTCGTTTCTTATGGTTTTCCCAGCGGTCGTCGGGGAGCACTCTTGGGCCGTCTTGGGCACGTCGTGGGCCGTCTCGAAGCCTGCTTGGATCACCGTGTGGCCAATTTGGGCCATCCAGACGCTTTCTTACACTGGACTGGGGTGGACTCTACTCCACTCGACCCTATGATACCCAGCTCTACTCGATCATCTACTCTACTCTGTTCGACCCTACTCTCCCCTAGCCTACTCTACCCTATTCTACTCCTACTACTCTGCTCTACTCTACTGTAACATACTCCCCTCGATGTTGGTCGACTCTACTCTGGTGTAGTATACATGGCTCTGCTTCACCAGCTACACTACTACCTACTACAGTTCGTTATTATCGACCCAACTCCACTACCTTTATCCGACTCTACCCTAACATAGTCGATTATACTCAACTAAACCTTCCTCTACCCCTGCTATATTATAGTATATTCCTACCCCTTTGTATTCTGCTCTACTCAGCTCTACTCGATTCGACTCGAACATGCTTTACTCTACTGGTAGAATCGTCACTTAGATACCCTACTCCACTCTAATATACCATGTTCCACTCGACCCTACTCTAACATCAACCTTACTCCACCCTAACCTATTCTGCTCTACTCTAATAGTATCAAGTCTAGCCGAATCTACTCCACCATCGACTCTGCTCTACACGGCCCGACTCGACTCGATCCTAACCTGTTAAAGTACAGTTCACATCTACCCCACTCCTATCCTATTATAATCTCCGCTTTTAAGCTAGTACCGATTCGATTATTATTATGTTGCGATCGACTTAAGCCCTATACTCGTCTCTACTCTGCTCTACTCTACTAGATGGTGCCCGACTCTACTTTACCGTCTACCCTACTCTGCTCTATTCTGCCCTACCTACTCTATTGTATTACATGCATATCAAGCCCTCTACCCTACTTCATCATGTCTTGATCTGCTCTACCCTACGCTACCCTAACCTACTCTGATCCTACTCGGTTCCTACCGTGATCGACGCTGCTCTACTCTAGACAGCTACTCTTCTACACTCTAGTATGCTCCACTCTGCTGCTGAGTTTGACGACTGTTATGGACGCCATTGGAACAGCCACAGGAAACCATTACGATGGCATAGAAAGCCACTCCCACAGCAGGGGGAGCCATCGTGCGGCACAGCCTGGGGCAAAGCAGAGAGGGCACGCGGGACCAGATCACTGCGCATTTGGCAAGCCTGCTTAAGGGAACCTACAGTGCCGTTTTTAATACATGCTCCGCGTGCGGATCATGTATTAAAAATGCAGGGATTTAGTAAAACAACGATGAGTTCATGCATGAATTTATTCCTAAATTAATCATGTATTAAAAATCCGATATTGTTGAAAATCCGATGTATTAAAAATTGCCCTGTAGCTTCTTGCCGCAAGGAAGAATTTTGGAGGGGCGGTCAAAGGATCTCAATGGCGACGACGCCGCCCGCGAGCAGGCGTGAAGCACAAATGATGAATCATCGCCCAGGGCGCTGCTGCGTGAAGGCCCACGTCGGGCATTTCTTGAGCGTCACCCTGCCTCACACCGACCCTGGGCCCAGGATGGGCCGCGCCAGGGTCGGTGCGCAACGGACGTCCGGCGCCCGACCCGTGGAGGAGCTCCAGCAGCAGACCACGAACATCCGGGACGCGGCTCGCAAGGTGGGGATCTTCGCGAACCAGGTGCGGACCATCGAGGGCGACTTGGAGGATGCGCGGGCCACGGTGAACAAGATCTTGGGGGCGAACGCGGGCATGTCGGAGCTCGTCAAGGCCATCGCGGAGATCAAGGCCAAGGCTGTACATCAGCAGTACTCGCTGGGCCTCGCCAAGGCCAGAGGGTGGAAGGGGGCCCCTGGCCTTTGTGCATAGCTGCTCGTGCGAGCGCCTTGCCCTTCGCCGAGACCACCATCCCTTCTCGGCGCGTGCCACTCGCATCACAACAGACACGAGGAGGGGAAAAAACACAGGGACACAATGAATCGTCGATTCCCAGAAAATATGGGAAAATATGGGAAGTGGGGGGGAAGACAAAAACCCAGAAAATATCGGATAAATATGGGGAATGTTTTTATTTGTGTGTATTTATTTGTGTGTCCCAGGGCCCCTTCAAGACAGGAAGCCAGCCCGCGCGGAAGCACCGGGCGCCTCGCCTCGAAGCTGGGCCCCCCGCACCCTGGGCCGGGCCGAGGGCGGGGGCGCCCCCCCCGCCCCTCTGCCCAGCCCGCCGCCCCTGGCGACCTCTGCTTCTGCCCCGAGCCAGGGCTCATTTCTACTCCTCCGATTCGGTTCGATTCGAGCTCGAAGGATCCCGATGCCGATTCGGTTCGACTCCGGATTCCGATCTGGACTCCGATGTGGACTCCGATGTCTCGAGGGAGGCCCACTAATTAGCCTGCCGGTTCCCGCCGAATCGGCCCCTCCCGACTTGGCTGCCGATGCCAGCCGATCCGAGTCATGCCGATCGCCGATCCGACTTGTCGGTTCGATTCTGGGCTCTGGCGCCAGCCCTCTCGCCACAGCCCAGACGCTGGAGTGAGGATCACGCGGGGCCGGTCCTCCGACCGCTGCCGCGGAGCCGATTCGCGGCCGAGGCTCGCCACTGGGAGCTCTGCCAGACATCGGCAGGCCAGGCAGCTGCCAGGGAAGCGGCCCTGCCCAGGCCGGCGCCTGTCGAACAGGAGAAAAAGGAGGAGGAGGAGGAGGAGGAGGAGGACGACGAGGAGGACGAGGAGGGGGAGGAGGAGGACGACGAGGAGGACGAGGAGGACGAGGAGGACGAGGAGGACGAGGACGAGGAGGACGAGGAGGACGTGGAGGACGAGGAGGACGAGGAGGAGGAGGAGGAGGAGGAGGAGGAGGAGAAGAAAGAGGACTCATCAGTGTCGCAGTGTCGCAGGAGGGAGGAGGGAGGAGGAGAGGAGGAGGAGGAGGAGGAGGAGGAGGAGGAGGAGGCGGAGGAGGAGGAGGAGGAGGAGGAGAAGGAGGAGGAGGAGGAGCAGGAGCAGGAGGAGGAGGGAGGAGGACGAGGAGGAGGACGAGGAGGAGGAGGAGAAGGAGGAGGAGGAGGCGGAGGAGGAGGCGGAGGAGCAGCCCCCGAGCCGCCATCCCAGCGCCAGCCTGCCGAGGCTGCGGTTGACAAGCTCGTCCCCCGCGCCGCGTCCGCGGGCGCCGCGTGCGCCACCGCGGCGGCGCTGGCCCCCGCGTCTGCCAGGGCCCCCGGGCGCCTGCCCGGCGCGCGGCGCGCGGGCGCACGGGCGCCGCCTTCCGCGAGCGCGGCGGGCGCGGGGCGCGCGTTCCTGTGAGGCCGAGCTTCCTGCAGGGACAAAAAGATCTGGGGCAGCGCTGAGGGGGGGATGGTCTCGAGCGGGGCCAGAACGAGGAGAAGTCCGTTCCAAAGCGATCCGGAGCGCTCGCGGAGCGTCCCGGAGCGCTCTCGGAGAGTGCCGCGGCGCCAGAGCCGCCGGAGTTCAGAGGGTCTCGATGTATCCGCACCCGCTGTTACCTGCGTCCTGGCTTCGTCTTACATGGGGCCCAGGGGGGGGTGCATATCGACACCCCATCGCCCACTCATTGTCGAGCGGGGGCCGGTAATTAGCCCGCCCCTCCGGGGAGCGTGCCGATTGGCCATGAGGGGCGTGTCGCCGATCTGTCGGCCATGCGTTGCCGATTCCGAGTCGACGCTTCCCCCCGTGAGCCGGTGCCCCCCCCCCCGCCGCGGCCGCCTGCGCTGCGCCGTGGCCTCTCCTGCCGGGCGGCGCACGTCTCGGCCGATGGGGCGGCCACGGCTGGCGGCGCGCCCCTCGGAGGGGGCTCGGGGGCGCCCCGGGGTGCCTCTTGTGCGGCCTCCTCGTGGCGGGGCCTCTCGGGCCAGGGGCGGGGACGTCTGGAGGCCAGGCGCCGTGGGTCTCCGGAGGCCTCCCGGGCGGGCTCATGGAGACCTCGGGAGGGTTCGGGAGACCTTGAGACTCGCCGAGCGCGTGCCACTGCTCGCAAAGTGCCTACTCGCAAACGTCAGGAGACCATGCGTCTGCCGTTATGTGATATACCGTAAATCCCCTGTGGCGGATCCAGGCCATTTGCGAGGAGCTACTTTGCGAGTAGTGGAACGCGCCTGTCTCGAGACCCGGGCGATGCACTTTTTTCACACCAGGCGATTTCGCCCAGCTTCGGTCCCCAGGGACCATCACAGATCGACCCTGCTCGAAGAATGTCGCGCGGAGACGGGGTCTGGGGCTCCGGCCGTGCTCTGACGCGATGTTGCACTGCGTTCGCAGCGTCGGATCTCCGGCGACTGCCGGCGGTGAGGCGTGGGGCGAGGGGGGCGGCCTTCGGAGAGGGCAGCGGGCTGCTCAGGAGTGGTTGGAGGCTTCCAGGAGGGGCTCTTCTTAGAAGGCAGGCGGGCTTCGACGAGGCCCCCCCTGCGGCGAAGGCATTCGATGAGGAAGGTACCAGGAGGCTCCAGACCCTGGAGGACTCCTTATCTGGTGAGGGCGGCGGTGATATCCGTGGCCAAGCCGCAATCGGTGCTCCACCAGCTTCCAGACCTTGGATTCCTTGTCTAAGGGTTCCTTATTCAATGCCCCCACCGTACCTTCTTCGAAGACCACCCCTCTCGTCTTGCCCCGGACCACGGAATCCGCTCAAAACGGGTCCACTCTGGCCAGCTTTCCGAGCCGTGTCCAGTCGTGGCGATGAGAGCCTCCAACAACGACCAGAAACCTCCGAGACGACATCGTCGACGAGGTCGTCGTCGTCGTCGTCGTCGTCGTCGTCGTCGTCGTCGTCGTCGTCGTCGTCGTCGTCGCCCGCTAATCTGGGTGACCGAATGCAGGTTGAGAGCAGCCGCGGTGGCCCCCCTTGGCGGCGCCTCGGGCGCCGCCCCTGGCTCACCCCGCGCGCCGCCAACGGGGGGTCCAGCGCCGACCCAAGGAATTCGCGCGCAACTCCGAAAGCTTGTTCTTATGCACATGTTGCTGATTATACCTTGAGGGAGCGGGATCTGGTCCATGCGGGGCAGCGCCTTGCGGCCTGGAGCGGGTGATGGCGGATAACCGAGATGTTGAGGGGCTATGCTGAACATGTGGACAGAGAAGGAGGGCGGAGAGAACGAGGGAGGGAGGAGAGGGGGAGGGGGAAGAGGAGTCCCATCCTCCCTCCTTCCACACTCCTCCATCATTCCCACCCCCTCCTTCTCGTAATCTGATTCCTCCTCCTCCTCCTCCTCCTCCCCCTCCTCCTCCTCCTCCTCCTCGTCCACGATGCGGATCCCCTTCGGGGATCATCCGTCGAAGTCAGAGCGATTCCGGGCAGATGTGTATGGCCCTTGCGCAGGGAAGACACGCGCAAATCGGAGAGAAGTACGTGTGTGTGCAATAGTTGGTGCTCACTTGTGATCATGACTCACGAGTTTGGCGGTGGAGCGGTTGCTTTTTGTTTCTGCTTGCACACCGTGGCCAGGGCTGGCCTCCTGGCTGCTCCTCCTCCTCCTCCTCCTCCTCCTCCTGCTCCTCCCCCGCCTCCTCTCCTCCTCCTCCTCCTCCCTCCTCCTCCTCCTCATCATCATCATCATCATCATCCTCATCCTCCTCCTCCTCCTCCTCCTCCTCCTCCTCCTCCTCCTCCTCCTCCTCCTCCTCCCCCCTCCTTCTTTCTCCTCCTGATTCCTCCTTCTCCTGCTACCGTCGAGCCTCTGATTCAGAAACTTCCTCCCGAAAAGCTGCGCCAGCGGTTCCCAACCTGCGAAGCTGCGAGGCATTGTCGGTCCTCCTGTACCTCGCGCAGCTGCTGCCGATCCCTCGAGACCACTATCAGGGGAGAACTCGACCTGCTCCATACAGTTCGTAAGGCGCCGCCCGAGATCTCGGCACTGGGCGACCGTGTGAGCGTGAGGGACTGGGAGTTAGGGCCCATGCTGACGGCGCTGCTGCCTGTAACTTGGACTGCTGCTGCTGCTGCTGCTGCTGCTGCTGCTGCTGCTGCTGCTGCTGCTGCTGCTGCTGTCAGGGCCCTGCACTCCGACGGCGGCGCGACCTCGCAACAGCAGGGCGGGAACGCGCAAGTGCAGTGTCCCTGGCTCGCACTGGGCTGGAAGGCCGATCGACCGCACCTTCCTGGATCCAGCGGCAGCCGATGGCCCAGTGCTTGCTCGCAGTGACCAGGGCCATGATCGACGCGCCCGGGTGGGCGGCCTCGCCGACGGCGCTGGCAGGCCCAGGCTGCGTGGCGAGACGGAGGTGGTCCGCGCGGGTGGCGCACGCGTGTGCAGCGTGCCCACGCGCGCGGGGCCACCAAGCGAGTGTTCGCTGAGGCGTTCCGCCAGTCCTTGGAGACCCGCCTGCGCGCTCCGAGGACGCAACACCCCATCACGCGCGACCCAAAGCGACGAGTGGGGTGATCCGACACCAGCCAGCCTCCGCAGCGCCTGGCACATGCTGAGCAGCCTACCGAGCGCGCTGGAGGGTGGTCGACGTCGCACCAGATGCAAGTCTGTCAGCTCCACGTTGAGTGTCGACGCGGGGGGGCGCTGGTCAGTCTGGCGCAATTTGCCACTGCGTGTGCGGCCGTCACTGGTCTTGGTGACGCGTTTGCTTCCCCACGCGGGCCTTGGCACACGGCTCGGTGCTCCACCGCTTCGGCTTCGGCGACATGGAGGCGCACAGTTGCTTGGCGCACGGCGAAAACAAAGACAACGTAAGTTATTGCCGCGGAGTTTGGTTGTGGTGGCCGTTCTTTGCCACGCCTACAACCTCCTCATGCTCCATGCCTTGTGGAAGGTGACATATCTTGCCACCGTACTCGCGTTGGCCCTAGTGGCGGCACCCGGCCGCGGTGAAAAGCGCGTGAGGCAAGGCCCAATTGTGGTTTCGAAAGGGATTCAACGCTCCTTACTCAGACCCTTCCATGGTTATCCCATAGCGTTCCCCGTACAGCTGGGCGCAACTGAGTCCTAAAACTGTTTTCGCTCCTGTCACATCTTACTTACGGCAGAGCACTGACTGGACAAAACAGGCGCGGTGGCACGTAGGCGCCGATCGTCCCTCTCGAACGGCGTTCCTACTCGCAACACTGGGGGCCGCCCCAGCCAGGAAGGTTACACGCGTTATAGCACCGCACAGTAATCCAACTCCCAGGCGCTGGTCCACTGGGTGCCTGTTCGGAGGGGGGGGCTAGGCTTAGGTGTTCTGTTTCGGTCTTCCGTATTCGTCCTAGGCCGTGGGGCATCATGTCGTCGTTTCGTCGTTAGGGAGGTGGGCCGGTGTAGGAAGCTGGATGGGGGGGGCGAGCCCACCCTGCATGTTGGGACGAAGCCCGACGCAGGCAGTGCCATCCTTTGGCATATGTTGGGATAGGACAACATCTTGCCTCCTCGTTCTCCCCCGCCTCGTCACCTCCCTCCACCCCTCCTCGTTTTCTTCGTGTCCTTAAGCGTCCGTTTTCTTCGTGTCCTTAAGCGTCCGTTTTCTTTGTGTCCTTAAGCGTCCGTTTTCTTCGTGTCCTTAAGCATCCGTCTTCTTCGTGTCTTTAAGAGCGTGAGAAACTTTACGGATTGCAAGCCTTCGATCATTATTCCATTCTGATCTTCCGTATTCGTCTTAGGCTGTGGGGCATCAGGTCTTCGTTTCGTCGTTAGGGAGTTGGGCCGGTGTAGGAAGCTTGACTGGGGGAGGGGCGAGCCCACCTTGCATGCTGGGACGAAGCCTGACGCAGGCAGTGCCATCATTTGGCACATGGTTGGGATAGGACACCATCCTGCCTCCTCGCTCTCCCCCGCCGCGTCACCTTCATCCCGCCGGCTCCCACTGCCCTCCCCCCCTTGCGATTTTCCTCTCTACCTCCTCCTCCCCCGCCCCAAGGCCGGGAGCCCGAGCTGGCGTTCGATGTGGGGCTGCTA